GTTGCATCATGTATTCAATTTTTGATAGTACTTATAAATAATGATAAAAAACTATGGGCAATTAATTTTGCCAAATAAGAGAGTATTTTTTTTTTGGAAGGGGGGTATACTAAAGGATATTTTTTGCTTAAAAATTATTTCCAATTTTTAGTTTCCTTGAGTTAATTAACCTAGTGAGGAAGAGATATCCGCCATGTGGAAGAAGAGCATGCATAAGGTTGAGTTTGCCAACATATATATGGCTAGAAAGAGAGACCAAACATGCATTGATAAGCATTCTAAATCTCTGGCATATGGGTCACGAATGTGGATGCTTACAAGTTACAAAATACAAATAGCTAACCATATAAACTTTGTATTTATCTACTTGGATATCGGATAATTTTTCCATACATTTATAGAAGAAAATAAAAATAATTATTTTAAAAAGTTTTTATCTTCTTTATTTCATTTTACGGGTGTTCCTGTATTAAGATACACACTTCAATTATCTTTGTTGTGACGGGTCGGATGTTGGGTCTCAGTCTTCTCGGTCGAATCCGGGCAGTCCGAAGTAAGGGGTGGGTGTGCCTGCGAAGACACTCCAACGCTCAAGTTAGTGTTCGGCGTAATAAATGCGGTAGTTCAGAATTAATTACATACCTCGTTGGGGTCCTATTTATAGTATTTCTTATTGGGCTGCAATTAGGGACTGGCCCCCGGAAAATTAGGGGTCTAATCTTGTGCATTATGTTAATTAATCTCTCCGTAACCATCTAGATGATGTCGACATACTCGGCTGACTCCGCTGACACGTTTCGCCCCATCTGGGAGTGGTCGGCGGGTTCGGGTACTCGGCATAAGCAAAGGTCTCGGGTATTCGGGCGATTCGGCCACAGTATTACGGGGTTATTTATCTTGAAACAAACAAGGCGCTATTAATATTATGCCAGCTAGGCAGTTTCCGTCGGCATCATTATCATGCTTACGCAGCAATAATAAGACAAAATTTGCATATTTATTTTTTGGAATCTAGAGTTATAAATAAAATTATATTATCTATTTCAGGCCAGAACTAGAATATCTCATCCTACGTTGCAGTTTCGAAAGGCACATCTGAAAGTGAAGTTTTATTTGTAAATCAAGAAGTAGGGTAAATGCCAAGACAGAGTTTGGGACGAGTTCAACACTAGCTACAACGTTTTTAGTCAATACAACATACAACGTAGACTTGTAAATGCAAAACAAAAAAATAAAAGTCTTTGGAGAGCGACCACAAATGGCGGAAACCGCGTGGTGGACTGAGAAATTAAAGGAGGCTTATTTATTTATTTGGCATATTCGCATCTCTATTTATCTATCTATATTATCTTTAGTTTAATTAGTAGACAAATTAAGAGAGATACTTTATTATATTTATTTTTGAGAAATTTCGGAAAAAGATAGTTGTATGATTTTTGGGATAAAGTTGTCTAATTAAGAAAAAATGAAAATCAAAACAAAGTTATCAAAGAAAATATTGCCTTTTATATATATGTAACTATTTAACTGTATATTAATGTAATTTTGTTAACAAATATGAAAATATTGGATAAATAAAAAAAAAGTATTTTAGATGGTAAATACTTAAAGAATTAATAAATAAAGTGAAGAAGAAAAAAAGCATTAGGTATACTCATCAATAAAATACGATTAATTAGTTACTTTTCTTATATTATATTATTATATTTTTTTTCTATTTTTAAAATATTCAATATTATATTTTGGTAATAATTGATACTAATGATATTAAGGGGAAAATTACGTGACAATGATGTGTCAAAATGTGAAAATGAACGCATGTCTATTTATATTATAAAATTTAAACTGTAAGTATGAAATTAAAAATGTGAAAATAAACACATGTCTATTTACATTGTATAATTTAAACCATAATAAGTATGAAATTAGGTAAAAGTAATCGTAAAATTTTATTATTTAACATTTAAGAAAATTCATGATAATTGACATCGTAAAAATATTTTATTTCTATGGTGAGTTTGGATTAGCGCAGCAAATCTATTTTATTGAATTTAATTAGTTATATTTCATATATAAAATAATTTTTTTTATTTTATTTCAAATTATAAGAATATTTAATTGAGAAAATAAAAATAAATGAATAAAAAAATAATGAGGATAATATTTATTTAAAATATAAATTAATTTTATTATATTTCAAATTATAAGAATAATTTTAACAAGACTCACTATCATGTTCAAAAAGAGATTATTTGTAAGATTATAATCTTGTTTCATATAATTAGTAGTTTATGTTAAGTTAGATAGGAATCACGATGAACCGTAACTTGTAGGCATGATTACATGCTTTATATTTTTTAACATTGGTTAATATATTAAGTGTTCATTATATAAGTATTCCCTTTTTCAACTTGGGTTCCTAGCAATCCAATTCTTATTTTGTTACAATTGCTTGTATCTTGTCTCTTTGCATATCATTAGGACAATGCAAGATTGATTAAAAGTACAAATTGTTGATTTTATCATGATAATGGTATGTAGAATTTGTTAAAAACATGAACAATATCTTGGAGTCTATTATAATAATTTATAGACTCCTCGTACCATGATTTTGAATACATTATAAATTGGTTATTCTGACACAAAGTTTTAATATTTATTTATTGCCATCGATTTCTTTTATCAAATCAAACTTCCTTGCCATTTTCTTGACTAATAACGAGTAAAAATACACAAAATCTTTAAAATGGAAATTATAAAAAAAAATATTAACCTATTTTTGGTTCAAATGCCAAACACAAAATAATGAATGTAAAATCAAATATATATTTGTGTTTCTATGGAGTAATTAATTGTGCAAGAAAATTAAGTGTATTTTTATATGTAAGAAGGGCTTAAGCCAAAATCAAAAGGCTTGAGCCAATTGGATCCTAAAAAAAAAGCTCCTTGTCCAAGAATAACTCAAGCAAAAATAAAAGGATTTCAACGAATTTGCCTTGAATTGGAAAGATCTTTATGGTTCCAAACAAAATAAAAAATGTAAAGTTTCATGGAATCATGAAATGGTAAATCTAAGAAATTGCATGTTTGTCTTCTTAAAATGGTAAACACTCAACTTCAAACCATGTTTATGCTATGTTTGACTAAGAGAACACAACATTAAAAACATAGAATCAATGATGTAAAAAAAAAATCTCAAGAATCCATGTGTGTTCTTCAAATGGTAAAGACAATCAATGTCATGTTCAATAAAAAACTTAACATTTCACAAAAACTCACGTGTACACTGTTCTAAAAGAGAGGAAGAAAAAGAGACTCCTTGAACATGTTTTTTTGTCAGAAGGGCTTAAGTCATAATCATAGGTTTTGAGCCAATTTGATCGGAAGAAAAACTTCCTTGTCAAAAAA